GCTATAGTCTTCCTTAGTATAGTGACTCTTCCTAAAACACCCACAGAGACACATAGACAAACCCAGAAGTAATACATTCCAGCTCTCTGCAATCCCCAACTCTGTCAAGTTGACTTATAAAATTAACCTTTATAGACCACACTGGACTGTGCTGACATTTCTAGGACTCCAGCAGGGAAGCTAATGGCTCTCAAGGCTCGTAGTAGGCGAAGACCATTACCCTGCAAGGAACTAACAGCAATAGGAAGGTTAGAATTTTGTCTGCAAAGCTGATAGCTCTTTGATGCTTTCTGTTAAGCTGCTGCAGTATTGTAAAAAGAAACAAAACATCAGTCTTCTCTCTCTTCCTGGTCCCTCCAAAACTGGAGGAATTCCGGAGCATTCTTCTCATATCAGTGCAGTTGCTTGCTTGAATGCCTTGAAAAAGGACACAATTGGAAACATTGGTTATATTATCAAGGCTTTAACTGGGATGGCTGTTGGGATGTATCCCGTGTGACTAGACCCTATTGTTTTTGCAGCTCAGCTCTATAGAGCAAATAAATGCTTATGCTGGAGTCTAAGGGGTAGGGTCTCAGCCTTGAGTGTAGCTCACTTCCCACCAAGCCAAGGAAACTTTAGAGACCTTGGGTTCAGGATAAGACAGGAGTCCATCCAAGTCGGTTGTGCTAAAGGCAAAGTCCAGTGCTGAATTCCTGGCTTCATTTTGTAGTCCCATGTAGCTTCTTGAAAAGACAAATCTGAAGTTCTCTAGTTATATGGGGTTAGAGAGTGGGGCTCCAAAAACCAAACTTAACGCAGCTTTCTGATAAATTACTTCTCTTGCTATGGTCTGAACGTTTGTGTTCTAAACCTTGTGGTGGTGTGAGGATGTGCCTGCAGTGTTTGGTCAGGGGGTGGACCCTCCTGATGGCATTGGTACCCTGAGATAAAGCAGCACAGAGCTGCCTGCCCTTTCCCACTAAGAACACGGAGAGGAGGCAGCAGACTTCCTGTGACCAGAGACTCCACCAGTCTGTGAAATAAATACATTAGTATTCCTTTGGGCCACTCAGCCAAAGACTTTTTTTTTTTTTTTTTTTTAATAGCAGCCTTCATAGACCAAGGTACTGCACTTGTATAAATGGTTAGTCAAAATCTAGTGAGAACAGGTTTATTTTGTGACTGAGAATAACCACGACTATGCAAGGAGAGTGGTGCAAATCCCAAAGTGCAAAGGCTTGGTTTACTTTTGACCAACAAGGACTATGTGGGAAATTTTTGTTTCAGTGGAAAACTAGCACTCCACAGTGTGGAGTCCCAGTTTCCCCCATTGCCTCCCACACCGGCTACAGCACTCCAGATCAAAGGTTCCTTGGTGACTTCATGAAAGCTGCCATTTTCCTAGATCATAAAGCAGAAGTGGGACCTGGATATACACAGAATGGGTAAACATAACAGGCTACCTTTAGACTGTCCTGTTGTCCACCTCAAGGCCACACAAACCCAGTCTGCGATGCCCTATGGACTCAGATAATGGATAACCATTAGTTGGGTTCTTTTTTACCTTCCTAGAAATCCCCTTCATTAGATGCCTGTTCACTGGCAAATCCCAGATAACATCCCAGACACCAATCCCAAGGAGTGTTTAGGTGTTCCTTAATCAACAAAAGTGGCCTGATGGGAAATCTGTTCAGAAGGAACCTTGGATGGTCGATTCTACTTTGTCAAACTCAAGCCAGCATCTATGAGCCCTTTGTTTCAACAGACCCTGGGCTTTCATTCTCCAACCTTTTAGGGTCTCATATCAGCAAGGATTCTGTTCTAAAGACTGTGTTTGGGTGGGGAATGTAATTCGGGATATAGCTCAGAGGTAAGAGTCTGTGTCTATTAAATGCAAGGCTCTGGATTCTATCTTCAGCCATGGAGCAAAGAGTCCTGTTGATTCCATTTACTTAGAAGCCTCATCTGGACACTTGATCTACTTCTTCATCCTTTACAGGTGGTGTCTTCTCACCTTCCCTGCCTTCAGCAAGAATCCTATAAGGCCAGTTTAGCTAGAATGCCCTTCCATGCCCGCCCACCCCACCCCATGTCTCCTCTTGGTGACTTTATACACGTATTCATGTACACATGAGCACATACAGGGTCTCTGTATCTAAACCCCACTTGTTCTCACATTATTGGATTGGTCCCACACTTGCCCTCTGTGAGACGCCCCTGCAGTGGTCCTAAAACCTGTAGAAATGGTTCTGAATACAGCCATTCTGTTTTAATAAATACTATGAGTAGTTTTTAACACCTTTAAAATTATTATGATTTTTAAGAAAGGAATAAATGTTACCCTTGGTGGTGAAGATTTGGGAATGATTCACATTAGACACCAGACACAAAAGTGCTTTAAAAATAGCATCTGCTAAGGAAGGGCAACTGTAGTTACTATTCTTCTTGGTATTTTATTATAATCATATAACTTCCTGGGGAGGAAATGGGAAATAATGAAAAGGCCTTGGCCTTTGGCTGGTCTGGGAATGTGAAGGGAGGCTGAGTTCAAGGAGGAGGAAGCCACTGGTCCTGGCTTGCTGAGGGGGAAAGGGGCTTCAAAGGATGTGGAGGACTCTTCCACTTTGCCTTTAGACTGTTGGGAGTGGATGCTGCTACAGTTAAGAATAAGGCAGTGCTCACTGCTGGTAACCCTTAGAGCTTTCGAAAAGAGGAGGCTGGCTAATGGCCTCGGGGACTGCACTCCTGTGGTCACCATTGTCTATGGGAAGCTCTATAGGTAACAGAGGAATTACAGTCAGGCTACCCTTGGAGGGAAAGGACCTCTGTGCTTCCCAATAAACCCTTCTGTTCCATTTGTGATGACTGTTGCCTTCTACCCATTGATTGTGAACACTAGTTCTCTGAAGAAACTGCCTCCATATTAAAGATCCTGGAACTGCTGACCTTAGCTGGGTAGAGTGTCATGACTGTGAAAAGATAAGAGTGTGTGGCAGGTTGAGAACCAACTTTATCTTGGGTTATTTTAGTCCTTTAATAATCGTTTACCTTTTGTATCTGACCTGACATTTCTGAGACTAGTAAGTAATGTTCTCAGATATATCATTAAGCTCAGCAGATCTGTAGCCTCCTTCAACACTAAAGCTAATGATGTCAACACCTAAGACTTTTAGAAGATTCCTCCCTGGCATGTAGCCCCTTACCTCATGCTCTCACCAATATCGTTAAAAAATTGTATTGACAGGTGATTTATTTTGTGACTATAAAAGTTCGTGTCACTATTATTTTGTGTGTGTGTCACTTCTTCCACAGTGGGACCTATCAGTCTGTATCCTGAATCTGTATCCTGAGCCGTGTCCACTCATTTGCCTCAGAAGAAATTCTTATTCTCTTTGGAGCAAGAGCTATGTTGCACCAATTCATTAATATCTCAGTCATCAAAGTCTTGTGCATTTTGAATTCAGAGTGAGGCAACACTGATATTTAGTTAAATAAAAATGAATTTTGACACCAGTGAGTTCTACTTTATACAATAAAGGCAATTCAGTCTAAAATCTACAGCTCCCTCCAACTGAATGTTCAGGAACAGATTGTTTAGCCACTATCTTTCTGGAACCCAAAATGAATTTGCATGTGTGAAGGTTGTTCTTGTGATGCTGTATAATGATCCTCTTACAAACTTTGACAACAGCGTGGCTCACAGATGAGTGAATGAAAGCCCACACCAAGTTCATGGGCCCTGAGAGACAGCCTTCACAGTGCCAACTCTCACTACTTCCCTGCCTTTCCTGCCTCTCCGTTCCTAACCTGTCATGCCCTTTCATACAATGAGTTTGGTGCTGTTTAAAACGTTCCAGAATTTAGCATTTCAGGTAGGGGCCTGGCCTTCTGAGTTCTCTGGGAACTTTCAGTGTACTTGAACTTACTGTGACAGTCCTGATCCTGATATGTAACCTCAGAGGAAGCCCCGGCAGCATCTGTAAATGAGATGTTTGGACCACGGTGTTGTTTTCCTTGCTTGCTGTATTTATTTGAAAGTACCCTGTGGTTACTTGTTCTTTGTTGCTCCAAGCCCCAAACTGTCCTAGAAAAGCCAGGCCTGAGCTGACTCAAAAAGGTTCTTATTGACTCTGTGTATAACTTTAATGTTCTAGAGTACTTGAAGAACATGAAGAAGGAATTTTTTAGTTTACCTACAGTGCTTGTTTTTTCACAAAACACACTTGTAAATAGTTTTATTTTTTGTGTATAGTATATGACTGAGTGCATGTGTGAGTTTGTGAAGCCAGAAGTCAAATTTGTGTCTTTATCACTTTCCACTTATTATTATTATTATTATTATTAATTTTGAGGGGGAGTTCAAGACTGGGTTTCTCTGTATACCCCTGGATGTCCTGGAGCTTCCTCTGTAGACCAGCTGGTCTCGAACTAACTGCCTTGCTCCCACTTTATTTGTAAAGATAAGATCCCTTGGCCCAGAACACAGATTGGCTACATTGACTGGACATCTAGCTCTAGGCATTTGCCTGTCTTCTGTCCACCGCGTTGTGCCACCACGCTCAGATTTTATTTTATTTTTTGCTATTGCTGCTGCTGGAAATCTGAACTCAGGCTGGAGTAGCCTAAGTGGCACCCTGAAAGATGACAGTCTGTGCAAGAGGGACCACTGGAAGTCAAGGGTGAAGACCAGGTTCACCTGGCTCTGCCAACTCACCAGCCTCTTCTCTTCTGGGCCCCTGAACTCTGGTCGACTCCTTCCTCTCTTGGTCAATATCTGTCCATCACTCATCAGTGTAGGCCCACAGCAGGCCTCATAGCAGGGGAAAGTGACCATTGCCTATCAAGGAACTGTTCTCTTTCCCTAGTCGGTGGCCCATGTCACCTTTTAGGATCAGTTTAGACCCCTGACCCTCAGCGGGCGGTCTGCGAAGCCCCGCCCTCGGGCCGTAGCAGAAACGGGGTGAGCATGCGTATTGTGCGGCCCCACCTCAGCGTTGCCTTAGTGATCCCGGATGGACCACGCCCATCGGGCTGAGTGAACGGAGGGCCGGGGTCCCGGGGCCACCGGCGTGAAATGTCGCGTGCTTTTGGTGCTCCCGGATTCGTGGTCCCTGGGTAAAGGACTCGGCTGTCTGTATTACCCTGGGGAACCTACTTAAGGAGATTGGGGCGGCCCTGGGGAGGTAGGAGAGGTCAGAGACTGAGGGGACTCCGGTTGAGTGTCAGGTGGAGGAGGGCCAGGGGGCAGGGGACTTGAGGGACTCGCGGGCTGAAGGGTTGGAGGAGGGTCTGGGGGCGGGCCTGGGGGCGGGGAGGGGACGGCCGCCCGCAGCTGACCGTCCCTCCCCGCCCAGTCCTCCGCACTGTCCCAGAGCCGCGGACCGAGTGTCCTCCCTCAGTCCCGGAGCGACGCTGCGCCAAGCGGCCGAACACCGAAGATGTGGAAGCTGAGCCGGAGCCGGGTGCTTCTGGACGAGGCCCCCGAAGACGAGGATGGGTTTCGAGGGGCACAGCAGACTTCAGCTGCCGCTCCGGCGCCGGTGAGGGCACGCGTGGGGGCGCAGGTGCAGGTGCGGGCCGCGGGGGCGAGGTGCAGGTGGATGGGGCCGCGTGCGGGGTGCGCAGTGGGAAGGGACCCGGCGCTTCTCGGGACTGTGAGCTGACTGGTCCCGGAGGACTCCTCGGGTTAGTGGCCCGATCGATCCTGCAGGTCACGGGCCCCAGAGCCAGCATGTGTGGGTTCCCGCGGGGCGCGCACCGGGGGCACTTTCCGCACTGGCCAGCGGCACTGCCCTTCGCTCAGCTGCCAAGGGCTCTAGGGTTCCTCCTGGGACTCCAGGGACGCTGGGTGACCGCTTCCAGGCCAGGTGTTTCTATTCCGGGGTGGAAGAAACAGAAGTCCTGAATCATGGTTCCCCGGGACGGCGGTTCGCTCACACGGAAAAGCTTTTGGTGACCATAGCAAACGCAAAGTGTGCTAAATATGTATTTGCGCGGGACACGTATGTCCTTTTTTTTTAAATATAAAGCTTTTGATCTCCCTTGCCCCCTCCCCCAGCCCCCGGAAGAAGAGCTCAGAGTCCTTTATACAGAAAAGGCTTTGGCCCAACAAGTGTAGAGATATGCTTGGAATGTCTAGAATTTTTTAATTAACGTGCTCCCAGGTGGATCTTAGCCTCTTCCCTACCCACTTTTTCAGTGCGGTTTTCATTCCCTTTCACGTACTATGAAATTTAGGTCACAAAATAAGCCAATTTTAAAGCATAGATGTATTTTGTTATTGTTTTTTTAAACACATTGTGAAAACTGTCGATGATATAAATCTTTCTTTTGAGAACTTGGAAATAGTACCGAAATTGCTTCTTCCCTAGTTGGAGCAAAAGGACATATTTGTTAGGAATGAAGTTTCACTTAAAACATTTCTTGAGAATTTAATAACATTGTCAACTCACAGACTTTGGAGTCGATGACTGTAAGTGTTCAAGTATGGTTTCCATCTGAATTTACATTTGAGAAGTCACCTTTTGGGATTCCTAGTGCTTACCTACCTTTTATTTCTTAGCCTTCAGATTTTTATAGCTAAATGGCAAGCTCTTGAGTGCAATGGTGAACATCTGTTTGTGGTCTTCAGATTTTTTATTATCTTCTAGCCAGCAGTATGTATTTAAGATTGCTTCGTGTACTTTCATGGCTCAATATTATATTTATGTTTGGTGCTGAAAAATATCCCTTTGTCTCTGTGGACCAGTTACCCGTTTACCTGCAGAGGAACATCTGGGTTGCTTCCAAGGACAGTGGGAATTGAAACCTCTGTAAACCAGCAGAATGGGCTTTCTAGTTAGGGGGCATTTTGTTCGATTCAGTGTGTGTGTGTGTGTGTGTGTATGATACATATGTGAGTGTGGGCAGGTGTGCATGTGGAGCGTCAGCTCTTGCTATCCACCTTCATGAGCTGGATCTCTCTTCATTTTTTACCACTTCCCAGCTTATTCCAGTCTAGCTGGCCTGAGAGGTTCAGGCCCATTCTCCTATCTCCATCTCCCATTGGAGTGCTGGGAGTACAGATGTGCAGCTCTGCATCTGAAATTGAACTCTGATCATCAGGCTTGTATAGTAGGTGTTTTCACCTGTTAAGGCGTCTCCCCTGCCCCCCCCCCATCAGCAAACAAGGAGCCTCTGCTGCTCTGTGCTACCTGAATCTGCTATGTCAATGTCCCTGGATTTTGTACATTCTAGTAGGTGTATATAATGGTATGTCATTGTGAGTTTTTAAAATCTTAACCCGCACAAAGATGTAGAGCATTGATTCTCATGCTTATTTGCCACCTATGTGTTCTTTAAGGCATTTGTCTCATTTTTAAATCTGGTATTTGTTGTCATAAGACATTTTTTGGATAATGATCCCTTATCAGGTGTGTATCTTCAAGCATTTTCCCCTCCTCCACGGCTTTTCTTCTCATTCTCTCCACAGTGTTTTGCAAAGAAGAAGTTTTTAATTTCAACGAAATCCACTTTCCATTTATTTCTTTTATGGATATCATACCATCATTGCATCTTACTTGTCAGGTTTTTTTTGTTTGTTTGTTTGTTTTTTTCATGGAGCAAGCCATTGCTATACCCAGCATCCATCTAAGTCAGTGTGTGTTGCCATCCAGTTGTGAGCTGTGATTTTGTTTGTTACATTATTAAGAGTGCATATACCACAATGTGTTGAAAAGACATTGCTGTAGAAAAATAGGTAGCTGGGCTATGTGGTGCTGACCTATAAAAATCTTGTCACTCCATGGATGGAAGCAGGAGAATCCCAAATTCAAGACCAACCTAAGTTATAGAACAAGATGGGGGCAACTGGCTTCCAAGACAGATAAGAAACTAGAGATTGATTTAAAGCAAAGCTAACTTCTTTTAGAATGAAATTTAAAAATCCATGGCAATCTATGATAAAACTGCTACCTACAAAATGTTTAACGTGGAGAGAAATAGGAATTAATATGTGGATAGGATTGACATTTTTCTCTCATGTTTAAAATATGTTTTCTGATATTTCACATCTAGTCCTTTGGCTCTTCCCTCCCCTCCAGACAGATTAAGTTAGTTCATTGTTGGGGCATGCACATGGAGATCAGTGTCCCAATTCTAGAAAGTGCTCAGTTTCCATCCATGTTTGGCCTGTTCACTTCCTTGAGAAATAGGCTATACAACTATGATCTGTTTCTGACTGTGTGTGTGTGTGTTGAAGAAAAAGTAGTATAACACTGTGTTTTAAATAAGTGTGGATCGTGGGAAATTCAGATAACTATTCCAGCTAGTTTTGGCACGTGGGAACAAATTCTCTGCACTTCTTTAGACTATTGAGTTTCTGTTGTCGTTGAAAATAAACATCTTATGGGTAGCACTAATTGGTCTTCAGTGGGTTGTCAAAAACATGGACATAAAGTTGGGAAGGGACTGTGTTGGGAGATTATGAGTTAGAGGGGAAATTGGTGAGTGATGTTGCATTTCATTGTTTACATGTATGAAATGTTAAAAAATGAAAATTATAATTGAAATAGAAAATAAAAGATTTAAAAAGAAAAGAAACATGTTTTCATTAAGATATAAATATGTAAGAAATATAAATTTCAGTGAGGCTTACAAGGAGGTCTATTCATTGCAGCCATTTCATAAGGGGAGGTATATTTTAATAAATCTAGTGTTTACTTTAAAATTAAAGTTGGTGATGCATATAGTACAAGATTTCTGAATATTATCAGGCCAAAACTTGGTTTTTCTGTCTCAGCAGATGCACTATTAAGTTTTTTTGTACATCCTTTAAACATTTATGCAAATATATAAATATACTTAGAAACATGAATTTGCTTTTCATCTGTAGACATTCATATGTATCTTGAATCGCTCTCTTTTATAAGGAGTCTCATGAAACACTTCCTGTACTAGCACCACTAGCTAAAAATCACTCAAGACTTGTGGTACCAAATGTTATTAAATAAGTATGCCAATATATATTTAATTAGGTCTCTTCTCAGAGATTTTGAGGTTTCCGAGTCAGGTTTAAAAACTCCTTTCATTATGGTTTTTATGATGATACAAACAAGGGGATGTAGAGATGCCGAGCATCGGCCCTATTAGACAGGCTTCCCCCACGTCTGAATTCCCGATTCAAGCTGTAAATCAATGTCCTTGCAAACAAACTTAGGGAAAACTATGACAAGATTGCCATGTAATTCTTTGAAGGCTCGGGTGTACTTACGAGTACTGAAATAAATCTGTCAATCAATTGGATATTTTAAAATTAAATTTGATGATGGGAAGAACTGGCATGACCATCTTTGTTCAGATTGCACATACCACCCTTTTTGGGTGCTCCAAGGGCTCTTCCAAAGGATGCTTTAGTGGTGTGGATTTGTGATGGATGGAGGACTGTAAACTGTAATGTTTGTGCTTGGCTTGACTTCTAAGTCTAGTAACCAACACTGGTGTCCTTTTGGGAGGAGTACAGTGTAAATATGTGACCTCGTAGGATGCAATGCACAGTTGTCCCCCTTGCCTCTATAGCTTACACTTTATTCCATTTTCCATGAGCTATTTTCAAAAACATAAATGAATACAAGTCCTTGCCAATGCAAGGTCAACCTGTGGATGGCAGTTCAAGATTTCTATCAGTGCCAAGTGCTTCTTCATTCTTCGTGTATGGCTGTTTTTGTGTTGCGTGATTGTCCTGGCCCATTTGGGCGGCCTCCACTGAAAGATGAGCTGGTAGCTTACACAGCAAATGTTCATTTCCTGGGGTTCTAGAGGTTCCAAGTCCAAGATTAAAGTGTTATAGAGTCTTCCTATTTATGTTGTGTGATTCCTCATATAAAAAGCTAGCAAGGCATAATCATCCTTGCTCTCCTATAACCTGCTTTTCTCATTTAACTTAATGTTGTTAAATAAATGTGCCAATATCTATTAGGATTGCTAAAATTGCTTTCTTTACAGTTTTGTGGCAGTAAGGACAAGAAAGCATCAAGGTGGCCAGACTGGCCCAAAACCGTATGTAATGCAGGGTGAGCTGAGACTCCTGTCTCTGAGTCCACCTTCATGTCCTCAGTGCTGGGATGACTGGCTTGCACTGACACACCAAGAGTCTGATTGGCACCCTCCTTTCTAGATTTCACACAGCTTCTGGACCAATAAGAGCAAGACCCTTTGGGGATCTGGACCTTTCGGCATTTCCCTTGCCTGCCTGCATTTTCTTTAAAAGCATTGCTGAGATAGCATTCATATAATGAGATAGCATTCACACAATGTTCTGCTTTACCATGAAATATGGCAGAGCCATGGTTTTTAATGTGTTCACTGGTGCAGTCAGTTTTAGAAAGTGAAGGAAAGCCAGACTCCAGAGCTGTCACGCCGAGCCCTGCCTTTCCATCTCTCCTGGCAGTTCTGCCGCTGGTACTTTTCCTATTGGGGAATTTTATATGTATGGAATCATGTGATTCTGCGGGGCTCGTGACTGGGTCTTGTACTTAGCGTGTTGTGTCATGTAGTCAGCACTCCATTCTGCTTTGTAACTAAGTAC